CACATTTCCATGTGCTACAGCCCACACTACAATAAAGAGAAAGGTGAAGGTAAAGCAATGAAATTGTTCCCTTTTTTCCTATAGCCCCACTAAGAAAAAAAGAAAAAGAGGAAATTGAATGCCATAAATATATTCAAACAATAAAATTTTGATTTACAGGAAGAAAAGCAAATAAATTGTGAGTAATGATTTGAGGTTGTAGAGGTCTCCAAACACTACATGATTTTTATTTGTCATGTGTGTTGCAGTATTTAGACTTACTGAAGTATATTCAGAACACAGATTCTGCCTAGTTTTTTTGAAGGTATTTTGCTTGGTTTGAGCTTTCCCCCTCTTCTTAATCAAATGGGCTGCACAGGTACCTTTGTAGTTACAACACTGTGAGTCCAACAATTACAAGACAACGTGGTTTGTTGCAGTTATTGACTTCACACACACACAGAAGTGACTCTTCTTCAGAGCTTTTGGAATTTTAATCATGTTTCCTGATGATCCTTTGGCTACTCATAAAAATAGAGACAAATATCTCTACAACTGACCCCAAGGTGGGCAGTGTCCTAAAGCTGTTATGCCATGGAATGCAGTGAAAAGGAGAAGATGCTTATGCATAAAATGCACTTTGCCTTAAAATTATCTTAGTCCAGTGGGAAACCTCCTACTGTTCCTATATATATATACAGACACACACCTTGTCCCTAAAATTATTTCAAATAGCCATTCTATCCAAGGAAGATGTCTACAGCTCTGAGTTTCCTCTTCTGCCTTTGCAGAAACAGTTAACTGAGAACGGATGGAAAATGAAAAAAAAAAAAGGTATGGAATTCAAAGATAATTAATTTACTACATATTTCCAAGGTATCAAACTTTAAAACACCTGTGAGTATCTGCTATTTTCAGCTTTCAGTCAAAGTAGCTGCCAATACCCATAGCACAAAAACTGAGGAGTAATTGCACAGATCTTGGGAAAGCCAGAGGGACATTCAAAGCAGTGTCAGTCAGTTTGGCTCCACTGGTCTGATCCGTGATATTTTAAGTGCAGATATGGCCAGTGTCCTGGAAAAAACTATTTGGGATACATCACAGAATGGCTTGGGTTGGAAGGGACCTGAAAGGCCATCCAGTCAGGCTCTGGCACAGGTTGCCCAGAGAGGCTGTGGCTGCCCCATCCCTGGCAGTGTCCAAGGCCAGGCTGGACAGGGCTCAGAGTTCCCTGGGCTAGTAGAAGGTGTCTCTGCCCATGGCAGGGGTGTGGAACCAGGTGATCCCTTCCAACCCAAGCCACCCTGTGATTTATGGCATCGCTCCTCTTTCCCATGCTATCAGCAGCCATTGCTGATATATTGCTCTGAAGTTCTGGTATAATATCTCTGCACAATAAAATAGTCCATTTTGACCTGTGTGTGCATAATTTCATCACACTGACACCTCAGCTTTCTCTCTGCATTCTTCTGCCCACCACACCTCTGGGTACCTTCAAGGAGAAGTACCAAAGAATGCTCTGACAGTAACACTTGGGTTTGTGACTGGGGCACACGAGCAGGTGCTCTGTGAATCACTGCCACAGCCCTGTAATCTCCACTGGAAGGTGCAACCACAGTAGAACTGGTGTGCTAAATTATTTTTTTATGAATCTAGGAGCACATTTGTAAGTTATGATACAACCAGTGCATTCTATGAAACAAGCTGGGAAGCCCAAACTTCCCAGCTTCAATCCCTGCCCGAACCCAGTGAGTCCCTGAAGGATTTACCTCTTTGCTTTCGATTCCTCGTGTGTCACTGGAGAATAACAGCACTTACCTACTTCACAGCAAGGCTCTTGTGAGAGCTAATTAATGTTTGTTGCACAACACTTTGAATTTGTAAAATGTCATTTAAGTGATAAGTATTATTGCCATTATCATCAGCGCTGTCCTGGGTACCATAGACACACGAAGGCAGCTGCTCTAAGAGCTACTTAATACATTAAGGACAAGGAGCAAAGTGGAAGAAGCATCAAATCCTTTCTTTTCATTTTCTTAAGAACAACAAGTGCTTAAAAAAAAAAAAAAGTGGTTGACAACATCTGCTTGCCTTGAAGATTTCTTTTTTAGGGTCTGTTCTCTGCCACACTCACTCTGACTCGTCCCCCAAGTAGCTGCTCCAGCTGGTTGTCAGTGGGAGCAAGGTGTGATGGCAGCAGAACCCACCACACTGGGAGCTGCCTGGAACTGAGATGCTGCATAGGTGCAGTTTAGTAAGTGTATTTTTTCCCAGCTTCCCTTCCTGTGGAACCTCATCTCCCTTTTTAATTTCGTTTTCCCCTTTCCAGACAGCAGAGGTAAGGTCAGCAGCCAGTGATGTAATAAACTAGTTAGGAACGCGCTGCGAAGTGCACCACATGAGATAATAACTATATTTAGCTATAAAATTTCAATGTGGATTATATTTCAAAAGTCTATTTATATAACTCCTTTTGTGGATAAATTAAAAACTATTTTAAGTATTCAAACCAGTGGGGGTAAAAAAAAAAAAAGGTTTAAATTATATCCAAAAGGTAAGGACACGAGGAGAGAGACCCTGGAGGCTTTTCCCCTTTCAAAAGGCAGCGATTTCTAGAAAAATCCATTAGTTTTAACCCTTGGACAGATGCACATCCAGTTTGGACCCTGTATCCTACCAACTCAGTTCACCCTGAAAATCTGAAACTGCAGCACCAAGGACTGATTCTCTGGCAATTTTCTCCTCATTAACCTGAGGTTCTGGGGAACCAACTCCAATCAGGAAGATATTTACATCCAGATCAATGGGAAATGAGACTCCCCAACATAGACTGTCCTGCACAATATTTTAGTGTCCCAAACCTATTAAGAGCTATGAGATTTATACCATGAAGTTCATGCACCATGCTATAATTTACACCTAAAAGTTGTCTTGCAGCTGCTTCCCCTTGGCCTGTTCTTCCATTACATCCAAATTAATAAAACCTATAACCTGTGCGTTCCTATGCTAAAGATAGTGAAGGAATGAGGGGTGGGTGGGAAGGAAATAATGACAACAACGACAAAATCAACACTAAATGATAATATTTCTGAACTGCTGTGATTGTCTGAAAAATTTTGGCTTAATGCATCTATGATACTGTGAGTTAAAAAACAAAACACTTGTGTTTTTCTTATTTTTGACTTCTCAAATCAGTGCCTCAGCAAGGCACCACCATATGCAAAACTACAGAGAGCCCCAATTAGGATCTTCTCTGTTAAACCCTCAGTGACTACAAAGCACAGACAAAAGTGTAACTAAATAAATAGATACTAGCATACAAATCACAGAGATTAACTTCAAGCTTGTGAAAATAGCCCTTGTAAATATAAAGTGAAAGTCATCAGACACCCAGCACACAGGGCTACAACAGTGGGACACAGGCAGACTGGGCTGGGCTGCCACCCCATGAATTCATATCTCCTGCCAATACATGGAATTTTCCTTCCAAGTAATAAACTACTCAATGGGAAGGAAGAATCCAGAAACACAAAGGGCATCATAGAATGCAAATTCCTGAGGGGAACCACCTGAGGCAGGTGCAAAAGGTGCTGCTGCACATCCTCCCTCCCTTCAGGAGAGGGTAATAAAAAGCTGGAATGGAAGAAGAGTTGGTGTGTACAAGCCAAAATACCAAAAAACAAGCAGGAGCAAGGACAGCAGTGGTAGGAAGGGCTGAGGGATGTGTTAAACACACAGTGCCTTCAGAGAAAGGGCCTCATCCCCTCTAGTAACAAGTGCAGCAGCCCCAGCCTTTATTTACTATGTATGCACATATCTTTGACCTATATTTTGAAAACCATTAAGACTCCAGAATATGGACAAACAAAAACAAGAAGAGAGGTTTTTTTGTTATTGTTGGGTTTTTCCTCTTCTCTTTTGTGCTAAATAGCACAGCCTCAAGCCATTCCTTACAGTTGCAAACATGTTCAAATGAGGCCTTCAAAGGCTGGAGGCTGAACTCTCCCGGGTGGACTCTCTTGTAATCATTAGGCTAAGCAGAAAACACAAAACTGCTGTAAACAACAAACTTATAAAAGAGAATGTTAAATATCATGGCACCAAGTCAACAGGAAACTGAAGCTCTCTGATACACAAGTCATGGTCACGAGGCACACTGTGCTCACATCAAAATGTAACTTGGTTTCCTTCTGTTTATTTTTCTTCTCTGCTTATTACTTTGTGTGAGAATGAAAGGCAGTAGGGGAAGAGAAGCAAGACAACAGACAGCCGTGGTAGCAACAACACTTTCAACTGCCTTTGGCCCTCCTAACAGCATCAGGAAGACAAAGAACATCATACACTGCAAGTTTATTAAGTAAAAAAGGAGGTGAGAACTCCCAAAGAAAGCACAATCCAGAAACAGCAGATCCTGTATTGAACAGTCACTGATTTACCTTTAAAGACGGAGCTTTTTCACGTAATAAAGACCCTGGAGAATACAGCCCTTTAGCAGACAATAATTAGGTGCCTGCCTACACATCCTTTCCAAGTTGATCTTGGATCAGCTCCTCACTTTTGCCCCCAAAGTGTGAAATTTGCTGCAGATGCCACTGTGCATCTCAGCTGCTTCATGAAACCAACTGAGGAATCTCTTCTGGAACAACTCAATTTTGGTGACCTGTACTACCAAAAAACTAAGGGTTGTGTGACCAAAATAAAGGCAAAAGAATTGTGCACTACCACCTCTATCAGATGTACAGTGATTCACATCAGAGTTCTTTCCCAGTGACATAAAACCCAAAGTACATTCAATGACAAAAGTTCCCAAAAGAAAGCCCACAATTCACAGAACATGCTGCATTTCAACTTTCTAATGTCTTCAGCTAAGAACATCTTAAATTCCCGAAGTTAACAGCAGAAATACATTCACTTAAAAGCAAACAGATGCAATTAGAATAATAAACTTGCTGCTTGCAAAAACGCTGCCTTATAAACAGGATATTTACTGAAAGCAGTTGTGTTCCAACTATAACACTTACCTTCACAATTGTATTCTCTCAATAATGAGTTTGGGTTTCGAGAGCTTCCACACTTTGCTGCACCCAGGTATGGTAGTTATGACTTCTCAGGCAAACTGCACTTAACCTGTGAAAAAACAAAATAAACTTTCAATTCATGTACTGCCTGGCAGAAAGAGAGAAACTCACGGCTAAAAGGACTTTGATGAATTGAGTTTTCACTACAGGTGTCACTTTTCAGTGAGCTGCCTGTGCTGTTTGAGTTCTCTGGGTATTCCTCCTCAGCACACTCACTAATATCATTTAATGTTGATCTAATTCACTTGGCACTGCCTCCCATGGCTTTGGCTACAATAAGTACTTCTAACATTTACAGGCCCCTGTTCCCAACCACTAATCCAAGTGGAAGCAGCTGTTCTCCTGCCTCAGCGTGGAGCTCTGGTTGGCACCTTGGCCACAGCTGCAGCACGTCTGTGCAGCTCATGGAAAACACCAAAATAGATCAAACCCATGAGGTTCTGATCTGTGCCATGACTCTTTTGTCACGTAAGAAGTACTTCCTTTTGTTCAATTCACTTAATACATCTGTTGTATCATGCATCTAGTTTAAAAATTAATAATTTCTTGGTAAAAATTACAGTGTTAAGTTTGGCACCTCATCTCCAAGGTTTCTCTGATTCTGAGGAAGCAGCAGAATTCCACCTTCTCCCCTTGCCACAAACATCAGGCTTCAGAAAGTAAAATAATAGGTAGAACTCCAGGCTTACATTCACAAAGATCCTTTGGGGAATGAAGTTTCTGGCATTTATCAGATCCTCCAACACAAACCTTAAGCTCCAGGTACAACCTGCCTTTCCACAGAAAAACACCCAATCACTGGGATTGGGAGTCACTATGGCCATGGTAATCCAAATATAGGGCCTTAAAACTGCAAATGTAAGAAGGTGTTCATAACACTTGAATCTTTAAGGTGAAAGTTTGTCTTTATTTTTTTTTTTCTTCCTAATTTTTTACTTTCACAGAAGTGGCTTTAGGTTCATTTTGAAAGGAATCTGCTCTACAATCATCATTGGTTATGGAGCTGTTCCAGGAATCCAACAGATGTGACGGAGGGATTGCTCCAAGCATCCACACCCACCAGATCCAAGATCCCTTTCCCACATTCCCACCTCAGTTTCAGCCACTACAGATGAACCTCTGTCCATGAAAGAGGAGGAGGTCCCACAGGGCCACGTCCTTAAAGGGAACAGTTAAAACCAAACCTCAGCTTAAGCGGTTTTTTGGATCAATTCCAAATCAAGTCCCAATTCTTTGTGTTTTGACAGTTTTGTAACGTAAAATAGAACACACAGACAGCAGAAACACAATCAAAGTCTTTGCTACTTGAGCCTCTGGAAGTCTCTCCTATTTATAAATAGCAAAAACGTATGTTTATGTAAAGGGAAACACTGATTTACTAGAACTGATTGCTTCACAGTCTAATTACTTTTCAACTGGCTGTTCCAAATTAAGATGTCATTGATGGCTTTTGGTGATATATTTCATTTTAAGCAAATTTATTCTATAATAGAGCACATCATAATGGAAAGCAGAGTTTCCACTCTTCCCTCCTCTTTGTAGCCTGATATCTTGACAAGTAAATTAAATTTAGCAGTTAAAATGCTTCCATTAGTAATTTTATTAAGTTAATTAAGGAATCTCTCTTTCTGAATTTTAACTACATTCATTTCAGCACAACCTTGATTTTCTTTTTTTTTTTTTTCAAATTCCATACATTTCTTAACCATGATGGTTTCTAGGACAAACAACTGCCTATAGAACATTCCTGAGACTATGACAAACTCAAATAAGAAAAAAGCAAGAAATTTTAAAATAACAAAACCTCATTTTTTTCATTTAAATTATTTTGCTCTACAAATAAAACAAGACTCTCCTACTCGAATCTAGGGAGAATGATTGTTGTGAGCAACTCCAAAATCTACAAATCACAGCAGAAATTACACATCTAGAACATTTCTGCTCTAGAAAACAGGTCAAGGTGTGTAAATCAGTGTCAATAAAATGAGAATTAGCTGAACCCTCACCTATTGCTTAAGCCAAATTCATAACTCCTGGTTCATGGAAACTCTGCATTTCATAAATAATGCCTTAACTTTCATTTACCTTTTTCATCTTTCAACACAGAAAAGGGACAGATGGAACCAAATATTATGAGAGCAACTGTTCCCTTTTATATCCCTCCTCCCTGAATCGTGGGACTGTGAGAAATTCCCTGAGATTTTCAATTGCCTCCAAAGCAAAGAATTCTGGGTAGTTTATACTCAAACTAAATTCATATATTGTAAACATGAACTAATAAAGTGCTTTATTTTTTCAGTCACCACCACTGCAATGTGCAAGAAATCTCTGATAGTAAAAAAAAAAAAAAAAAAAAAAATCTAATTTATCTCCTCACCTAAAGGAAGGGGATTTTTCAATAAACAGTCAAACATTTAATTTGCCCCAGGACTGGGGCCGAACTAATGATAATGTCCACTTGACATTCCATGGTCTGCTGAAAAGAAACATCTCCAAGAAGTAAAATACGATTATTTAAACCCAAACACTAAGCACAAGGAAGGTTGACACTGATTGTGTATGACAAGGCCACCCAGGGGCACAGCTCAGCACGGGCACATTAACATGTACAGATGTAACAGTGCTCCCTATCACAGCCAAACATGCACCAGGCTAAGGGATAAACAACTGGGAAGGGGGAATTATTTGCTGTACCAAAGATCCGCTGATACAGGTTTGGGGGGGAAAAAACGGCAATATTAAAATGGGGAAAAATGTTACAGAGCTCATTGATCCCACCTGATCTTAACAGAGGGCAGAGAACACCTGCAGCCAGGCCCTGAGGACTGGAAAAGCTTGGGAGAAGGATGGCTGGGAGTAGAGGGGAGAAAAAACACACAGATGAAGTAATTGTATAAGGATCTCACATTAAATTAACTTTCTGACAGTGAAGTACTTGGATTTCTTCTTTCTTAGAGGACTGACCAACCTCCCCCACAGGAGCTTTCCAGCATGCACAGGACAAGACAGGCAAGAAGGGCCAAGGATGAGGTAAAATTGGTAGTCTAAATTACACAGATCACCTCTAATTACGTCACAGTTGGGCTGCAAATAAAAGCAGTGATCAAATAGACTATTTAAAATCATGTTCATGTTGTACTGGTGGAGAAGTGCCTATGGAGATGTTGATCCCACTCCACAATGCAGTTCCAAACGCACGGGGTGCCTTTTGCCAAGTGTTTTGGCTGAAAGATGGGAGTGAGGTCAAAACGTGGCAGAATTTCTCTACAAACAAGAGCAAACAGAGGCTGTGGAGTTTTTTATTTTTCATTAGTAATGGTCAGATGACTTGGGAGGAAACTTTTCCCAGCATAAATGATACTTTGTTTTAAAAGTTGTACCTTACAATTTATATTTGCAGAAACAGGAAAGCCTCAGACAGAATCTCCAATGAGAAAACAAAGTTCATCGATTTGAATAAAAATGTTTTGTTTCATATTTATAAATCAAAACATTGGGGGGTCCTCCTGTAACTAATGACATTCTGCACTTAGAGTAAGATTTCAGTCATAGAATAAAAAATCTAATCAAGCTTGAAAACACATGAAGTCTTTAAGTCTGTTTTTCCTATATCAAGCACGATTAATCAATCATTCTTGATATATCATTGGAGTTAAAGAAAAGCAGTAAAGGAAAAGTTTGTGGAGTGGATAAACTCTGTAAGAATCTGCTTTTTTATTATAATATTTCTAATATTTAGACACACATACAAGTTTGTAGAACCAGCCAACCTCCTCTTCCCTAACACTTTAATTAATTACTTGCTCAATTTTAAAATTGGGTTGATTTAAAAGTAAAAATTATCAAGATATGATACACAAGTTCTTGATTCATTTGGCCTGAAGCTTAAACACTGTTTTTACAGGTAGAAAAATTAAAAAGAAAAAAAAAAAAGAAAAAAGAGGCATAAATAGTCTCCACAAAGGTATTTTACAAGCAGATTAGACCAACTTCAATACATTCACTACCACATTTTTTTAGGAATGTTGTGTACTACCATTTTAAGCAGTGAGTAAAGCTTCCAGAACTGATGTTATGGGCACAGAGAGTTTTGTAGGGAAAAGATAACACATGAAAAGCAAACAAACAAACAAACCAAAAACAAACAAACAAAAACCAAAACAAAACAGAACCACAACAAACCCCTTCAACCTAAATCAAGCATAAGGCTGATTTCCTCAATTTTAATCATATTTTTTCTTTATGGTAGCTCACCATACCTTTGTAAAACAGTAAGGGACAGTATGCAACAAGTTAATGTCAATGTCCCCTCAGGCTTCTAAGGCCTGTGAGAGGACAGTAAACTACAAATGGAGGGATCCAGATTTTCACTGTATGGGGAACAGCCAAACATTATCTCCACCAGGAGGAAAAAAAAAGCCAGGCTGTGCCAGCAGTTTCTCGGGTTATACACCTCAGGCTCTCACATTTGTATTTTCAAGGCCTGGGCCCAACAAAATGGCACCTGGGACTGAGGGGGCCTCTCCTTCCCCCTGCAGCCCCCCCACAGGTGTCACCTATTAAGTGATGTTGAGAGCAACTGAAAAGGTCCTGCCAGGATCCTATTTGCTTTCCATAAATCCAGGGATTAAAGATTATGTGAACAAATAAAACAGTCTCCATTCTAACTTCCCCACTACAAAGGAGGAGGCTACTTGTAAAACCACAGCAACAAAGCTGGAAAGGATCAGGAGAGGTCAGAGAGTCCATCCCTGGGCTCTGAAATAGGTTCAGGTATATTTGCATGAGTTTTAAACAGGTGTTTTTCCAGCCAGTTATTTAACACCTCTAATTGCAAGGTTACACAGTGCTCTCAGCAGCTCATCTCCATGGTTAGAGAGTTTACATCTGCACTAAAATAATTTAAAAAAAAAATCAACCTTGCTAATAATCAAGTCAATTATTTCTTGTTCAACACTCCATGAATGTGGAGAAGAACAATTGGCTCATAACCTTTTATATTTTCAGACTATTCAAGTGCCTCTCACAAACTAATTCCTACTAAACTAG